ACAAGTGAAGTGGCATTTTTAATTATAAAAATATGGTGATTTGGCACCAAAAATATAATTTAATATATAAAAATTTCCTTTCTTTTTTTTTTTTTTCTTTCCTTTCCTTTCCTTTTTTTTCTCCTTCTCTTTCCTTTTCTCCTTCCTCTCCCCTACTGGGTCTTCGAACCTAGCACCAGTGCTTGGGTTCCGAACCCAACGCCTGGGTTTGAGTCGAACCCGCCTGGGTTTTTTCTTCTGTTTCTTTGTTGGCTGCAATCATGCTTGGCTATCTTGGAATGGGATTTAGAATTTTGTGTGGCTTTGATTGCTTGAATTTCAAGATCTAGTTACTGTTAGTGTTGATTGCTATTAGTGTTGATTGAAGAGATGTTGTGTTTTTTACATTTTTCCTTACAGATCTGGTATACATTTGCAGAGGAATTGATTTTTTGAATTAGATCTTGTGCGAGGAACCAAATTTGGGTTCTATTAGAGAGGAGGTTTGGGGAAGAAGTAAATAGTGATTGAAGTGGTAATAGATGATCGGAGCAATGAGGGATGATTGGTGCTAATTGAGTTGCAAAATGCGAAGACATCTTAGAAACGAGAGGGGATGGAAGATGAAGAGGGTATTTAAGGAATTTTAAATTTTTTAATATATAAATTAATTAAAATAATGTGGATAATAATGGGTTAAATTATTTTCCATGTAATTAAAGATTTCAAACAAGAATTGATTTCATGGCAACTTAACGTGCCATCTGGCACTTCCGTCGACAGAAGGACGAAATTGGTCTCGAAAATTGAAGTTCAAGGATTTTTTTAGTACTTTTTGAAGTTTGAAGATAAATTTAGTTCAAAAATAAAAGTTGAGGGACTGAATCGAGGATTTAACCTACGAAGTAATACGCTTGTACATATGTAAACGTGGTTATAACTGTATTGAATTATGTGGTAAGTTAAAAGTTATTTTTGACATTTGTTGATTTATTTTTAAAAGTTTCATGAGAATGGAAACGGGGAGATTTTGAGTGGGTTAAATTTAATAAATAGTTTATTAATTATGTAATTTATTTTAATTTAATTTAAAAATAATTTTTTTAAAAAATTTATAAAATATTAATTTTATTTAAAAATAATTTACTTGATAAACTTTTTGTTAATTAAATTAACAAAATTCTTTTTAATAGTTGATTGTGTGCCACCTAATCCATAACCGACTTGCCATGTAGCTCAAAACACATGAAGTGGAGTTGGTGTAGATAAATTATCTTTTAAATTTTTGAAAAATGTTAAATATATTACATATATTTTTATTTTTTATAATATTTTATTTTTGAAATTCAAAATTTTTTTATCAAAATGTAAGGAATTCTTTCCAGCAATTGATGTGTGCCTCTTAAACTTTTGAAAAATGTTAAATATATTACATATATTTTTATTTTTTATAATATTTTATTTTTGAAATTCAAAATTTTTTTATCAAAATGTAATAATTAATTAAGATGAAATTTTAATTTATATTAATTAAGATTTTAATTTTAATTTAT